TGAAAGAGGGATCTAGGTCTATATGAAGGCCTGGCATTTTGGTTCTATCAGAATGATCAGGGAGGGCTTCCTGGAGGAAGTGACATTGGAACTGGTACCTGGAGGATCTGTTGGGGAGCACAAGAGACTTGGTTGGGAAGTTGTAAGGAGGACATTCTGATAAAAGGGAAGTGTGTGGAAGACCGCCTTCCCAGTTTATCAGAATTCCGACTTAGGGGAGTGTCGAAGGCTGCGCCCCTAATTATTCCTTGTCCTTTCCAAACAAGCAAATGCATATGTAGACCCCCAGGTGTTTACTGGAATCCTTATGCTTAATCCCTGGATGCCCTTGCCTAAGGACAGTAAACATGCGTCCTCCCAAGATTACTCACCCTACTGATTGTATCTAAAGATAAAAATTCCAGCCCTAACTGGTTTGGCTCAGTGGATAAAGCGTTGGCCTGTGGTTCCAGGTTTGATTCCGGTCGAAGGCATATACCTTGGTTGTGGGCACATCCCCAGTAGGAGGTGTGCAGGAGGCAGCTGATCAGTGTTTCTCTCTCATCGATGTTTCTAACTCTCTATACCTTTCCCTTCCTGTAAAAAATAAATAAATAAATAAATAAATAAATAAAATCAATAAAAATATTTTTAATATGTGATACCTTAATAAAGAAATTATGTGATCAATAAAGAAATTAATTAAAAATATATATTTTTTAAAAGATAAAAAGTCTAATAAAGGCAGGCAATAGAGGTGGCTCTGGCTACTAAAGCCAGCCCTCCCCCCCCTGCACAGTCAAACTGTCTGAGTAATCTGTTCATCTGTAGTTCAGGAGCTGCTGGGCAGCCCCCACCAGGATCCATAGGCATTGGTGCAGAGCTGAGAGTGGCAGATAAAAGAGAGTGGGCTTCAGGTAGGGGGATAGCCTGCGTGCAAAGAGCTCCTTGGAGAAATTGGAGTGTGAGGGAAAGCTGAGGAAAGGTCATCAGGGTCGTGAGGAGAGGCTGAAGCTTTGTTCTGAGCTCCCCGGGGACCTGCCTGAGGGACAGTCAGAGCTGAGTTTTAGTTAAGGGTGGAGTCAGACTACTGGCTGACGGTGGGGAAGAACATCCACCCTGTCTGCTTAGGGTCGGACAGACTCGGGAGTCTGCTGCCTGCTGTCCTGTTTCTCTCTGTGTCTCAGAGGGCAGAGACCCCGGCTTGTTCCCGGTCAAAGGTACCACGCATCCAGGCTTTTGTCTCCAAGTGGGCTGTGAGCTGCCCTTTAGCAGGTGAAGGAAGCGCCTTTCCCTGGTCTGCAGTGCTGTTTTGTCATAAATGGTATGTCTCACTGTGTGCTCCTGTGTCTCTGTTTCTCCCTTTGTCTCTCCTATCATTTCTGAGCTCTGTATCTCTTTGTCTCATCATCTCTGTCTCTATTTTCTTCTCTGTGTCTCTGGCTTTCCCTCACCCGAGAGGGTGTGGCCATGGGAAGTGGAGTTTAGAAGTTGGCATCAGTGTCCCGGTTCTGGCCAAGGCCACCTCAGTAAACACAGGACATCCTGTAGGGCAGGGGAAGGAGGTGGATGCTTCTGCTGGGGGACCACCCTCTCCCCACCCAATCTGAGCTGAGCAGGAGCCAGGTTTCCCAGGGCAGCCGAGGGAAACGAGCCTCTCCTCCGTCCTTCAAGCCTGCTCCTGCCCCGGCCCTCTCAACTTTGACACACCGTGTCCTTCTCTGGCCTTGGTGTCAACTGCAGACCTGGCTCACCATCCCCCGGTCTCCCAGCTAGACCTGAGGTCTCATCCTAGGCTCCTCCTCAATCACAGCTTATCAGTCCTCCACCTCTCCCCACACTGCTCCGGGCCTCCCCTCTGTCTCCTGGCCTCCAGTCTCATCTCATCACTACGACTGGCAGCCAGAGAGATCCCTTTACCCACTGCCCCTTCAGCCCCTCACTGACCTTATCCCTCCCCCACCTCCTCCCAGCCAAGCCCAGCAGCCCACAGGCCCCTGAAGAGGTGGTAAGGTCCCTCACCTCCTAACTCTTGCACATGCTGTTCCCTCTTCCTAGAATACTTTCCTCAGAACAGCTGTTTGAGGTGGGTACGGTTCCAGCTTAGAGATGAGGACCCTGAAGCACAGAGAAGTAAAGTACTTTGCTTAAGGTCACAAGCCACAGAATGGCAGAGCTGAGGCTCAAACGCAGGTGGTCTGGCTCTCAACAAAGCCACTGCTCTACGGCTTATTGCGCCAACAACCACTGACTCCGCATCATTCGGTGTCCACGCTGGGACTGCACATCCTGGGTGCTGTGCACGGGGGTGGGAGGTGAGCCTGGGGAGGTGCAGGTGCAGGTCCAGGTCCTAGAGGACTGGGACCAACTCTGAGGGCCTGGAGCAGGGGAGAGATGTGGTCAGACTTTCCTTTTAGGTAGGGCCAGGCACATAGTAGGTACTCATAAATCTTTGCTGAATGAGAGAAGGAAAGGAGAGAGGGAGGGGTGAAGGGAGCGAGGATGAAGAAGACCAAGTGCGAGTGTGATGGGGTCCCTGTGACCGGCCATGGAGGCCATGAGGGGGGGGGGGGGGAGCTGGCCCGGGGAGTGTTGTGAGAACACACAGAGGCTCTGTGAGCGGCAGCGGCAGCGCCAGGGCTGGCAGTGGCAGCTCCGCCAGGAATGGTGTGGGCCCTGGAATCTGCTGGCTGAGGTAGCGTGGCTCCCTGGGGGTGAGCCTGAGGACAGAAGTGCACCCCAGAAAGCCAGGGAGCCTGTACAGGCATCCAGAGGTCAGCTGTGGGGACCGTGGGGCAGGTCCCCAGCAGGAGCTGCTCATAACCCTGAGGGCACCAGAGGAACGGCCACGGCTGATCTAGCCCATATGGTGCTTTTGTATAAAAGATGTCCCCCTTCCCCAAGGCACTCGGCCTCCGTCTGCTGGGAAACGCCATAATAAATATGTACGTGCACGGAGCCCACAGTGTTTGCAGGAGCCACTTAAACACGGATTCTGGGTGCAGCGCACAACCTCTGTAGTCCAGGCTCCGGGGAGAGGGGACATCGCTGGACAAGGAGCTCAGGGGCAGATGGGGAGGGTGGTTGACAGATGGGCGGGCTGTCTGCACCAGTGGGTATTACGGAGCATCCCGCACTTTGGCGCTGGGAGACATCAGGAACAGGCCCCCCAATTTTGTAAACGGGGTATTGCCGACCCCACACGGGGGGGAGGGGGTCCTGAACCCCTGGGCAGATCGGGAAATCTCAGGCAGCGGCGTCCAGACCCCCAGGCTGGCGCCGGGGGCATGGCTGAGCGCGCCTGAAGTCCCCAGAACTGGGTCAGGGTCAAAACCGAGTGGGAGTCCCACTCCCCAGAGGCTGGAGTCGGGCACCCGGAAGACCTTCAGCCTCGGCACCAGCTCCTTTGGAGCCATCTCCACTCCCCTCCCCTCCCAGGTCGCCGCATCCACCTCCAGAAAAGGGCACGACTTCCTCTGCCCCGCCAGGAAGCTCCGCTCCGCCCGCCCCTTCCCTCCCCTTCCCGCCCGCCTCCCAGGCCCCTCCCAGCGGCAGCCTCGCCGGAGCCACTGGCGTCGGTGCTCCCGGTCCCAGTGTCCCTTCTCCGGCGGCGTCTCCCCGTCCAGGCCCAGCCCCGCGGTCACCGTCTGGCATCTGCTCCTCCCCCTGGCCCTCCACCCAGCCTCCCTGCCCGCACCCCGGGCACTGCCCTGCCCCCGCGGCCGCCAGGAAGGACGCCGCCCGCCCGGGCCCAGCCAGGCCTCCGGCCCCTCCCAGCGCGGCCAGGAATGCGGCCGGACCGCGGGGGCGGGCAGACACCGGCTCGGCCGCCAGCCTGTCCCGCGGGCGACGGGCGGCGGGCGGCGGGCGGGCGGGCAGGTGGCCTCAGCTCTGGGGCCTGAGTTTCCTCTGGAAGGAAAGCAGGGCGCCTGCCACTTCGGTCAGGCCTCCAAACCAGTGGCTTTATTTCCGAGCTACCTCTTGGCTGCCCAATTCAGATTTGAGACCTGGAATTTTTTTTTTTCTTTTTAATATATATATTTTATTTCAGAGAGGAAGGGAGAGAAAGAGATAGAAACATCAATAAGAGAGAATCATTGATCGGCCGCCTCCTGTACACCTCCCACTGGGGATGAGAGCCCACAGTCCCGGCAGGGGCCCTGAACAGAATCTACCTGTGACCTCCTGGTTCATAGGTCAGCGCTCAACCACTGAGCCACGCCCGGACAGCTGGGCAGGAATTTTATTTTTTAAAAGTTGCTGGAGTCTCCCTTTCTGTCACCACTTTCCTGGAGAGCTGCCTCTGGACGCTCCTCGGAGAGGCTCCATGCAGCCTCCAGCTTAGTGCTTTTATTTCTGGCTCATTCTTTTCCCCACCTCCACCCCCCAAGACACACAGGGAAGGTGTAGACTTCATCACTGAAAGGTGGCCTGGGCACCCCGGAGGAAGGGGAGTCCTCAGGCCAATGAAGAAAGCTCACAGCTTGAAACCCACCTCAAGTGACTTCCCGGGGCCTGTTCTCAGCTGTGAAGTGGGGATAATAAAAATGCCCATCTTGGCATGAGGAACAAATGAGTTAACACATGTCAAGTGCTCGGATCCGTGCAGTACTCAGCCTAGAGTCAATAAACGTGAAAAGTTATTATATCACCCTTGCCTTAGCCCAGAAACAAAGAAACATACAGACTTGATATTTCCGAGGACTGGTTTTTAATTTCAAAAAACTGGTTGGGGTCTCTTTCCACATCAGGAAGAGCCATATTCCAGGCTATGACCTCAGGGGAGTCAGTCCAGCACTAGGCCTGGTCCAGCCACCAGGCCCTGCCATCCCATCACGAGGGCTGATCCCAGACTCCTCCCATCAGTCTAAGAGAAGGGGACCAAGGTGAAGCTGCCCATGACTGATTCTGTCTCTGAAGCCCCCATCTCTGTCCTAGGGGAGCCAGCCATGTCTTTCCAGGAGAGTTGGTTCAGCCACCAACTCTCAGTTTAGTCACCAGACACCCTCCCAGCCCTGCGGTCAGCGCCCCGGCCCCGGTGGCCGCTCCAGTGTCTGTGTGCCCACCAGCACGTCCATGAGGTAGTCCAGCTCAGTCTCCTTCAGCTCCGAAGCATCCTCCTCGCCTGGCCCACCTTCAGGGCCAGGTTTGAGGCCCTCAGAGGCTGGCGCCCAAAGGTCACTGTCATACATGGAGGTGTCGATGTCCTCAAACAGGCCCTCGAGCCCATCGTCTAGCAGACAGCCAGTGGCTGGGTCCAGCAAGTCCAAGGACCCCAGGCTGGGTGGGGCTCCCCCAACGGGGCGGCCCTGTGGCCCCTCTTCTGCCAGGGGCTGGGGTGCCTGGCTCAAACCCTCAATATGGCTGAGGTCCTCCAGGAGGCTGGCCATGGACGCTGAGAGGGCGGCATCTGAGCTGGCCAGCAGGTTGTCAGCCATGCCAGGGGCTGCAGGCAGGCTGGGCACAGGCGGCAGGACCGCTGTGGGCACCATGGACGCCTGGATGCGCCGCAGAGTGTTCACCACCAGTACAAGGTGCCGCAGGTCGGGCTCACTCTGCCGCAGGCTGTGGTGGAGCTTGAGCACTGACAGGTCAAAGAGAGAACTGGAGGCCACGGCCTGAGGTGCCGGTGCCACGGCTGGGTGGTCAGAATCCAGCCACCAGGTATCCACTGCCAGGGCTTCCTCCTCCTGCTGCTCCTCCTCCTCCTCCCGCTTGCGCTTCAAGCCCTTGCTCAGCATCCTCTGTGAGGAGGGAAGAGTCATGGAGTTATGGAAAGCCAATGATAAATTCAAATCCCGGCTCTGACGAATGCTGTGAGATCTTGGGCAAGTCACTTAACCTCTCTGAACCTAGGTTTTCTGAGGGAATCTTTAAGATAGGAATATTAATACCTACTTCCTAGAACAAAAACACTATGCCCTGGCTGGTGTGACTCAATCGGTTGGAGAGATGTCTCGAACACCAAAAGGTTTCGGGTTTGATCCCGGGTTAGGGCATGTACTGAAAACAATTGATTGATGTTTTGTTTTGTTTTTTCTCTCTCTCACTCCCTTCCTCTCTCTCTGGAATCAATGGAAACAAATCCTCAGGTGATGATTAAAAACAACAACACTATATCAGTGCCTGGTGTATAGCAGTTTCTCATATTAATAAGTACTATTATTAATAACTATTATAATTTATTTCTTCAATGAACTGTGTGAAGTGTTCAATATTCAACTTTTTTCTTCTTTTTTTTTTACTTACAGAAGGGGCTGTTTCACATAGTTTAATCTAATATGTATTGAGTACCATGCATTAGACAATAAACTAACAAACAGGAAATGTACAGATGGTGCTAGGAAGTTCTGGGGAGAGGTCAAGAAAGGCTCCTCTGAGGTGAGCCCTCAAGCATAGGAGTCCCGAGAAATAACCAGGGGGAACGACCTGGGAGGAGAGAAGAACAGCACAGGCAAAGAAAGACCCTGCCTGAGGCAGGATGAGCTTCAAATGGAAGGGAAAAAAAAAAAAAAAAAAAAGACCAGTGTGGTCAGTACACAGAAGTGACAAGAGCAGGAGTGGGGCGGGGCGGGGAGGTGGGGGCGGGGTGGGGAGGTGGGGGCGGGGAGGTGGGCGGCAGAGACCAGAAGTTGGGATTTTATGGTGAGGGAGGTGGGAAGTCACTGAGGGGTGAGCAGGGGGAGTGGTGGTGTGAATTGATTAGGTTTCCAGAAGCTCCCCCTTGGCTGCTTCAAGGAAAATGGGGGTGTGGAGAGAAGGGGGAGGAGAGACGACGGTGATCTGGAGTAGAAGATGGTGATGATATGGAAGGAAGTTGGTCGGTTCAGGATTTATTTGGGAGGCAGAGTGGACAGAGCTTGCCAGGAAGTCCTGATGGGCACGGGGATCCCGGGGAGCAGTAAGAGGACTTACACTCCCCCCCACCCCGGTGTGTGTGTGGGGGGGATCCCCGGAGTTCTAGAGCCCGGGCCCAAGCTGCGCTGTTGAGCGGGCAGCCGGAGGGTCCAGTCCCCAGGCCCTTGCCCAAGGATCGTAACCGCTCACACTACCCAGAACTGAGTCCGTAGACCTGCGAGTCCAAACCGCAGGAATTTAGCCCCCTACCCGACTCTGCCCCCGATCCCCGCGCCCCCTAGCGGCACCAGGCGGGCCTTCCTCGGGGATTCCGGCCCCTCAGACCTAGGGACCCTCCGTATCCCCGCGTCCCGGCAATCGCTCTGCCGGCCGCGGGGGGCCGCGCAGCCCGGGGTTCCGGGCGGGCTGTTCGGCGTCCTCGGCCTCTCTCGCTACCGGAAGGCAGTGGAGGCGGCTCCTCCTGAAGTGGCGGCGGAGGCGGGTGAGTCACGCAGCCGGAGCCAGGGAGCCGGCTCCTCCGCCCCCTTCTGGGGCTGCGACGTGATTCACCCGGCCCGGCCGAGGCGGACGGCGCTCAGAGTCCAGCATGTTTCCCTCCGGCAGCCCCGGCGCACACCTGCCGGGCCCGGGGATCGAACCTGCCAAACGGCCCGCTCCCGTATGATACCCCTTCTTTCCCTACTCAGACCCCTTCCCTTCATTTACATACCCAGCTCAGCCGCTGCCAATCAGAAGGAAAAGGGAGCCACCCGCAGCCAATCAGGAAGCGGCGGCGGCACCATCGTTCGCCAGCTCTCCTCCAGCGACCGGCGCCCGGGTCGGGAGACGCAGTTCTGACTCCGGCGCAGGACTCCCGGCGCCTGACTACTTCAGTGCCCGCCCCCTCCTGCGCGGCCCCACCCTCCTCCCGGGATTGGTCCTGGGCGGCTGTGGGCGGAGCCTGGGGCAGGTTTCAGGGAGCGGAGGCTGGCTTCAGGGAAGTCGGCTTCAGGGCGCATGCCTGGCGGCTGCGACTGGAAAGGAGAAATGGGAGGGCTACTTGCCTTGCCGTGACAGGGAGGGCTTTTTAGCCTTCCAAGGTGCGGACCCCTCACACCTGCCATGTACCTGCCAAACCCCGCAATTGAACTCCTTAAGCAATTGAGCTTCTTAGGCACCCGGCCCAACAGGGGATCTACACTCTAGGCCAGATCGGCCTTGATTTAAATTCGAACCCACCACATGATGTGTGACCTTAGACAGTCTTGACCTATTTGAGCCACATGAAGTCTGTTCAATGGGGATCTTCTTGCTTACCTCTTACAAAATTAAAATAAGATGATATCTGTAAAAGCGCTGTACCAGACTCAGCAAACGCTGGTGGATGGACTCAATTGTGGGAGTCAAAAGGCAGGAGTGGAAGGGGGAGGGAGATGCCACTGGAGTCACATATTAGGCTCCATTCCCTAAGTGTAACCTTGGGCAAAGGTTTTAATTCCTTAGAGTCTCGATTTCCTCATCTTTGTTGAAATGAAGGAAATAGCGTTGGGACAGAGGATTGTTGTGGATTAATCATGATAATTTGTGCAAAATTATTGAGTGGTGCATATGTCCTTTTATTAGTAGTAATGGTTGTTGGGGTAATGGCACGGGCAACTTAATTCAAGTGGGGGACACTCAGGTTGGCATATATGTGACAGGAGTTTAATACTTGTCAGATAAACTGACAATGGGACTTACCTTGTTCAAGTAGCTCATTTGCTAACTCTTCTGGAGCTGTTGGGAAGAACTGTTAGTTGTGAATAATGCTCCTGTTAGTTGTGAATAAAGCTTTCAAATGTACTAACCATACTATGCAGCCATTTTTTATAAGATATGGAAGCAATCTAGGTGTCCATGAATAGACAAGTGGATAAACAGGATGTGGTAATATCCAACCTGTAGAGAATTTTTATGAGTTTATTTGAACCAAACTGAAGACATATGCTAGGAAGCAAGATCTCAAATGCTCCAGGGATTGACAGTTTGCAGTTGCTTTTACACATTTGGATTTAAGGAGAGAGCATAAGAAAGATTACATGAAGGTGGGGAAAAGCAAGGCAGAGTTTGGATTACAGGATAGTTAATAATGTGCTCTCTTGAGGGAAGTTACATCTCAGAGGTGTCTGAAAAAGGCATTTCAAAGGCGGTCTGACAGCGCTAGGAAGCCTCATTCCAGGAAGTTTTAGTATCCAAGTTGAATTGTTGAAATGGTGAACCTTTGGGAGTAGAGCAATGCCCCAACCATGAGGTGTGAATTGAGGCTGAATTTTCCCAAAATGGAAGGGCAGGTAAACAGAAGGCACTCAGGTCTTATGAGCCTTTATTTATTTATTTTTTAATATTCTTTTTAAAAAATATATTTTATTGATTTTTTTACAGAGAGGAAGAGAGAGGGATAGACAGTTAGAAACATCGATGAGAGAGAATCATCGATCAGCTGCCTCTTGCACACCTCCTAATGGGGTTGTGCCCGCAACCCAGGTACATGCCCTTGACCGGAATCGAACCCGGGACCTTTCAGTCCGCAAGCTGACGCTCTATCCACTGAGCCAAACCGGTTTTGGCTCTTATGAGCCTTTATTAAAAAAAAAAAAAAAAAAAAAATTTGGCCGAAACCGGTTTGGCTCAGTGGTAGAGTGTCGGCCTGAGGACTGAAGGGTCCCGGGTTCAATTCCGGTCAAGGGCATGTACATTGGTTCCGGGCACATCCCTGGTGGGTGGTGTGCAAGAGGCAACTGATCGATGCCTCTCTCTCATGGATGTTTCTAACTATCTCTCTCCCTTCCTCTCTGTACAAAATTTTTTTAAAAAAATAAAAAATAAAAAATAAAAATAAATAAAATAAAGTTCAGGCTATCATGAAAGTTTGCAACATATCACATATTGCTGTGTATTCTCTAATGACAGAATACCAGCAATGGCTGACAGCTAGTGGAACATGTGCAGTGTTTTTAATAGCAGGTGTTTTTTATATGTTGCTAGAAATCAAGAGGTTTATAAACATGTTACATGTCCAGAAATGAGTTAAAATACTTGAAAGTCTAAACACACTGACATGTTACAACTTCAAGAGGAATCAATAGTTCACATGGACTAAATTAATACTGGTAAATTAAACTTCAGTTATTTCTGTAGCGTGTCTGACCACCTTCTGAAATAAAAATGCCATTTAAAAAAATTTGCCTCTGTGTAGCAGGTATGTTTCTGAATATAGAATCATATTAGACATTCATATCAGCACAAATCATGCTCAGCATCAGAAGATCCAAAATACTAGCACAAGTTATTGAATCATTTCTGTCTGGTGAACTATCATGATCTGAGTTTTGCTGTCTGTCTCAATATAGATAATGGGATATTACTCAACTATAAAAAATAATGAAATGTTAAGATTTGCAATAGCCGAAACAGGTTTGGCTCAATGGATAGAGTGTCGGCCTGGGGACTGAAGGGTCCCAGGTTTGATTCCGGTCAAGGGCATGTACATTGGTTGTGGGCACATCAGCGGTAGGGATGTGCAGGAGGCAGCTGGTTGATGTTTCTCTCTCATCGATGTTTCTAGCTCTCTATCCCTCTCCCTTCCATTCTGTAAAAAATCAATAAAATATATTTTTTTTAAAAAAGATTTGCAATAGCATGGATAGACCTAGAGGGTATTATGCTAAGTAAAATAAGTCAGAGAAAAATAAATAACATGATTTCATTTATTTATTGAATCTCAAAACAAAACAGAAACCCATGGATACAGAGAACAAATTGATGTTTGCCAGATGGGAGGGGGATGGATGGGCAAAAACGGTAAAGGGGACTAAGAAATACAAACTGCCATTTATAAAATTAGTGAGTGACAGGAGGTAAGTAT